TAAACTCCTTCTCTCAATAGTCACATTCATGCAAAGTTTCAGCTTTCCATGTTCATCAGTTTAACTGATGCAAAATAAATTAATTGAAAACATCTCCATTTGAAATTTGTGCCCCCAGGGCATTTACTTCCAAAGTCTAAATTTTTCTGCAGCATTATAATAGGCAGTTATATATCAAGTTTAATCTTTCCACACTAGGTCAATACGTCAGGACAAATAATTACTTGAAAACGTCGGCCCCAAAAAATATCCCCCCATGGCATGGATAAAAAATTTTGAATTTTTCCTAAACGCATCGTCTCAGTAGGCACCTCCATGCTAGGGTTCAGCTTTCCATGTCTCTCCGTTTTACTCAAGCAAAAATAATGTTATGGAGGGGGGAATGAGTAACGGGACATGGAAGGCAAAAAAAGCCAAAAGACAGCCAATGAATAACTGGGTGGCATGGAGTTCCCTCAGTCTACATTGAAAAAGATAAAAATTTTCGTTAAAACACATCAAGGCACTTTTTTTCAGTCCCATTTTCCTGAATATTTTTTTTATCCAACGAAATAGAGACAGAAAATTTAAACTTCCCTCAGAAGTACCTGTTCCATGGCTGAGTACAGGAAAAATCCTATTTTGAAATATGTCCCCTTACCGTAGATTATAGGAGGGAAGTACAGTAGAACGCCGATTATCCGAACGCCGATTATCCGAACGCCGATTATCCAAAAGACAGCCAATGAATGGCCGGGAATTGAACCCGAATCTTCTGATTGTCAGTCAGATATGCTACTACTACACCACAGAACCCAGCACAACCAGTTGGTTCTCTGAATGCCATCCTCACCGTCACAAAATATATTTAAGAAAGACGTTTCCCCCCAAAATGTGTATCCCCAGGGCATGTACCTCCAAAGTCGGATTTTTTCTGAACTCTGCTTCCCAAAAGGCACATGAGTACCAATTTTCAGATTTCTAACCTTTCTAGAACATGGTTAGAATTAGCGTCAGTCAGTCAGTCGGTCACGATCGTCTATATATATTAGATATTTGATTATTCAATTGGAGAATTGCAACAGTTGAAAATTTTCGAATACCGTAAGTGGTGGAGCTTTCTTTGGAGGGTTAATAAACATTAGATGCAGCCTTGCGTACAGGCTCCCATTATTATTCTTGCGGATTAACACTCATCACAACAACGAAAATTGCTACCAAATCCTAAAAGGACATGACAAATTAAATGTCAGTGTTTGGTTATTTTGAAAGAAGAGAGGTAATAATATTGGTAATCTTATACCAGAGTTTTTCGGTGACGTGATTTACTTGAAGGTGACTGCACAATTCACAATTCATAAAACCTTGAATTTACTTTTTCTTTACAATTACTATTGCTTCATGGTATACTATAATTTCACCATTTCTTAATACTTTCTGCCATTCTATTACTATGTATGCTTTGGCAAGACTGGATTTTAATTGACTTCCACGAGGCGAACTTCTGCAATTGCGAATATGTATATTTTCCCTATAGCAGGGGCCGACTTTTGGTGCAATGGGACTCAGGGTAGGGGAGGAAATCCTGAAAAAGAATTTCTTTAATATGGAGACAGGAAGCCTTCCCCTTACTCCTGAGATATGGACTGCGTTTGATGCATCCCTCCTTTCATCATCTTCACCACTGCATGATTGGGGTTTCATGCTGAAAGGACGTAAAGGTGAGGTTGGAACCTTGCTTGAGATTTCTAATGTATAAAGGCGAAGCTGTTGAAGTATTGCACAAAAAAGTCCCATCTCATCATTAATTTGGAAATATCAAGAAACTATTCTACAATAGTGATAGGATCAGGTATACAATCGTTGCCCTCCAAATGGCAGAAGTACATTGATTCAACCAGTGATTTTTTTGGATTAAGAGAAATGTAATGTTAATGTGTAAACAATTTGATAGGAATAAAAACCTCACCTCGGTAAAATATGTGCCTATGGAAATGATTGAGCTGCTGCCCAGTTATTGGGCATTCAATGGAACCAACAAGATTTACACAAAATAAATGTGATTGCTTATCAATCACCGTTGTCATGAGGTATCCCTGATGAGTGCAATAATATGTCAAGGAAGATCTCCCTGAAGCTTCATGAAAATAAAATTTTCTCTTCTCCTTGTGCAGGTGATTTTTCACCAGTCGTTTTTCTCAATATCGGGAATATTTCACTATATTCATAAATGCCATAACCACTTGCAATTTCAAAGACTTGGAAGGATTCAAAGAAGAATTCAAATCATTCAAAGAAGGAATGATTCTCGAGTTGTTCTTTAAAACTTTTTTATTGCCGAGAAAAGATGAGGCATGAGCTTGTATGAGCGTGTGTATGTGAGAGTGATACTTTTTAGATATTAACCATATTTTATTGACATTTTTTATTTATATTCTATTGATATTATTTCGAAGTTTTAATTATACTCATGCATAAATAAAATATCGAACATCAATTAAAAACCAAATTTCTCACTCCGGTTTGCTCAGGTTTCATGTGCATCATTCCTATTTTATCAATATCAGTCATGGCCTATGAATTACTTCACACTTTTGAATAGATATGCAACATAGGATTGATGCAACCAAGTGCTTCCTTGAGCATACGTAACTGATGGAATAATGCTCTTGTACGTGGAAGACGTACTAGGCAGTGTCGTTACCTCATCTTCAAACTTTCGCCGAATGAATTAGAACCTCGCGAGGCCACCCTCGCCAATAATCTCGCAAATGAAGTGAATGCTAAATTGGAAGTCTTGTCATTCTAATGTGATTGGTATTTCTTTTCATTTACTTCCTAACTCTTTCTTTAGCCTTCTCAGAAAAAAATGGAGTACGCAAATCTGATAATCACGAACAAATTCAGAAGATCCTGCGAGAGAGAGGGGTGGAGTGGAAGAATGAAAAGAATCCCCCAATTCCTCTCCAGACTAAGGTTGGAAGTGGGGCGAAGGGAGTCTTCGAGTCCCTCTCCATAGCTATCACAGGATCACTATTGTACCTCCCTCTCCTTCAGGTAAGCATTTCCTCCCACTTCTATCTGCTTTTTTTCGTTCAACTATGAACAATGTCGTTGAACATTGAATTCTACCACTACAGCATAATGAAATCTGTCGCCCCATGAAATTCTTTAGAATTTATATGCTCAACAACTCCTCATACCATGCCGAACATTGATCCATAGGGAAAACTTTGCGATTAAATTGCCATCTCCTAAGACGCTGGTATTTAAGGGGAGAAACCGATGCAACCTTAAAGAAAATGAGGAGCCATAACAAATTGTCTACAGCATGAGCCACCTAAAACTCAAACCTCAATATCATCAGTGGTATCAGTGATATCACTTCAGGCAGTCTAAGGTTTCTATTTGAGATTTCCCTGCACCATGGATACATTGCGCATTTATGCAATTATGCTTACAGGCATCTGGATTCAGAAACAAATTTACGAGGCTCGTTCGCCAGGAACATGAGCCTTTGCACGTAATTTTTGTCAGCGAAATATGAAAATGAGCCTAAATAAAATTGTAAACAGTTTCCAAGTAAACCAGGTGGAACAAGGAAAACGTACTGAATTTACACAGCTTAAAGAGCTATAGTCATGAAAAGTACAGGATGTCCCAAAAGGTACGTAAAAATTTTAAAAATTAATATCTCACTAGGTTATGCCTCAAATAAAATGATGAAGACAAATTGTCAAAATTGTCATTGTGTCATTCATGGGAAACTCCTCTTAGACGGATAAACGGATTTTCGCGAGATGTGAATTGTAAGAATATCACCGGAGGAGATACTTCCTGGATCAAAAGTAAAAAAAATCCTCCCATTTTATGTAACGAGGTCACTTTTCGGACAAGAAGAATTGCACAATACCGAACGCTTTCCAGAGAAGTGCTCACACGTCATGACCTGCACCCGACCTGAGACTCGATTGCCGAACGAACCTGTCCAAAGCGTGCTTTGTCCTTTGAGCTTCAGAACTCGCGGTCTCAAATGACGCATTCTCCCGCACCCAACCGGAAACTAGATTGTCACTCGATCTTCATGACCGATGCACGGGTCCGATCGGTCCTATCGAGCCGATCCGCATCCGGGTCAAACTCAAAATCATCCCATATTCTACCTTGGCGTTCTTAAATGAAAACGACTGGTCACATTTTAACGTTTAGAAGCGAAACTTGTTGAACATTTACATACAGGCGATTGAGGTTTCCCTGCAGACGAAATGTACTTGAACGAATATAATTGAACTTAAATATAATTGTGTTTCATCGTGTTTCATCGATTATTCGAAGGCGTTCGATGTCCTTGAGCACAACAAGCTCTGGACCTGCCTGAAGGAAATGGGCACACCACCACACCTGACCGAACTCATAAGATCTCTCTATCAAGATCAGAAAGCTACAGTCCGAACGCCATATGGAGACACGGAATGGTTGAAGATCAGAAAGGGCACACGTCAAGGATGCATCCTGTCACCAGCAGCTTTCAACATGTACGCAGAAGCTATCATGCGGCGAGCAGACCTGAATGAGTCCAAGATTGGTGTGAAAATAGGCGGCAGAAACATCAACAACCTCCGATACGCCGACGATACCACCCTGCTGGCTGAAAACAAGAAGGACCTCGAACATCTGATCATGATAGTCAAAGAAGAAAGTGAGAAGGTTGGACTGCGCCTGAACATCAAAAAGACAAAGATCATGACAACAGCAAAAAATTCGAACATCAATATCAAGATCAACAATGAAGAAATTGAAGTGGTTGAAGATCTCATCTTTCTTGGCTCCAAAATTGATCGCAATGGCGACTGCACCCCTGAGATTAAGAGACGGCTGGCACTTGGAAGAAATGCGATGGTCAGTATGTACAACATCTGGAAGAGCAAAGATATCAGCTTGGCAACCAAATGCAGATTGGTCAGTGCAATCGTTTTCCCAATAACAACATACGGCTGCGAAACCTGGACGCTGAGAAAGGCAGACAGGCGAAAGATCGATGCATTTGAACTGTGGTGCTGGAGACGTCTGTTACGCATTCTGTGGACAGCCAGAATAACAAACCAAAAAGGTCTGGAACGGATCAAACCGAAAATCTCACTGGAGGGGAAGATGACGAAGCAAAAGCTCTCCTACTTTGGTCACATCATGCGAAGCAAGTCGCTTGAGAAGGACATCATGCTTGGAATGGTCAGTGGCAAAAGAAGACGAGGCCACCCAAGAACTCGCTGGCTAGAAACCATCAAGAAAGATACTGGATATATGGACATAGCAGAATTGAAAGAAGCCGCGAGAGATCGGAAGACATGGAGAACACTGATCCATAGTGTGGCCGAGAGTCGTATTCGACTGAACGGATAAGAAGAAGAAGAAATATAATTGAAAGAAATCATGTTTGCTTGCAATTTTAAAATTGTGTCCCTTTAGAATGCTATGCTCACGCCCTCCATCTCATTACTAATTTTTTGAATTCGTTAAGTGTGTCTCACTTTTAAATTGTACGTCATTTGAAACCTGTTGGCTATAACCATTGGGTCAAGAGCTCAAAAACGTCTACCATTTTCACATCATGAGGCCTTATTTCCGCGATAAGAAAAGCATTTTACTGAATTCCTTCCTGGGCGCAGTGCTCACAACCAACAATGATGGTATGAGGCATTGTTGACAACGGAAGTTGTAGCTCTCCTAACTGAAGGTATTTTTAATGTCATACTTTTTCGCGTTACCAGTCCTGTCGCCGGTTTAAGACAGGGCTTCATGTGAGTTTACAGCATTGAGTTGGTGCTCAAATATTATTATTTCATAATATTCAATAATATTTTTAAAGTTTTGCGTTCTCAAAATGCCTGAAAAAGTGGGGAAGTTTAAATTATTATATAGCGGGATCTACTGAACGTGCGGGAAAGAGCGAACTTCTGGATTCAGTCATTGGATATACGTGCATGACGACATTCATAAAACGCTGCTTCACAGGCTGCACCCAGGAACAGTCCAAATGAAGCAGAAAAGCAGAAAGGCATCAACGAAATGTTCTGATTCGAATTATTTCAGCCCGTGCGCGCACGGACTTTTATACCAGTTGAGTAGATACACCGATCTCTAAGATGTATTAACATACCGTCATAACGTAACTTAAATCCACGTTAACAGAACAATAACGATGACGATAATATTGTATAACGATAACGTAAATCCATGCCACAAACGATTGATTTCCAGTGATTTTTTAGTTTGACTAAGCAATTAGCCTCTAAAGCTTGCATTGGACTGACCAAGGCCAAGTGGGCTTGATGGTTCACACCCTACACTTATGGTGCAACATAGAACATGTTAGTTCTGCCGAGGATGGTTGAGGTAGAAAATATTGGATTCCATTGTGCACAGTAATAAACTTTTAGTTTGAGCATGAACTAATCCTGATATCACCATTAACTCTGCCTCTTTAGTGGACGTCATTTTCATTGTTACTGGGCTGACTTAGCTGCAAGGCGAGCAATGCAAATTTGACTGTAGCACTATCATTACTTGCAGTAGATAGTAGGTTGCCTTGGCATCCAAAGGCATGAAATCTTAAAATGTAATCATTTTCCACGTGGCACATGCTCAGTTAGACAATTATCTATTCACCGATGTCTTCCCACCCTTAATACTGCTACATAAATCATTTTCCGATATGGTTTCTGCATGTGGGTGAAGTTATTATACGTTAAAAATGAAAATTGATTATTTTCATTTTTCTCACATATAGAAGAAAATCGGAGATGGAGACAAATTTTCCCTCATCCATTCAGCAGCCAGGGTCTTGCTGAGGCCCATCGTCCTCATCTGTGAAGAGCGCATACAATCGAGTGAGATCTACCTCATATATCCTTACTCTTTTCATTTTGAAAAGCAGAAAAAGGGCTGTTAAAAACAAGCACACAATTGGAATTTGTGAATCAATTTGCCATAACATAGTAAGGGTAAATAAGAAGTTACGGATTTTGGAAAAAAGTCAAAGACATGCATGAAAGTAGCTGCATGTGACCAGAATAATCGAGTATGAACATGCGTTAAGGTTCAACGCCCATCTTACATTAATTTATATGAGTCCATTCACCATTGGGATGCATTGATTTATAAATCCATTCCGGCACTTCGGACTCAAAGTACAGGGTGATGCAAAAGTCACGCACATCAAACAAGTACGTACCAAACAAAATATCCTGAAAATACTACTACTACGGATTGTCACAGAATGTGACTATCAGGAGTAGTGTGACTATCCATTCTTCATTCTTCACCAGTGTTGCAATGTAGTGCGTCCATGGTTGTGATGATTTTGTAAAAAGGAGAGAGTATGCCTATATTGTTGGTGTGAATGACTTTTTTTATGACTTTGTCTATACTATTGTGCGAGCAAGGATAAATATCGATGTAGCAGTGAGTTGCACAATTGGGCATAGCTTTTTCTATATCGCACTCTCCCGAGTTAAGAAACCGTATGCAGAATGGGAAGCTTTAGCTGCATGCTTTATCGGCTATACTTCTTAGCCCTTCAGTCTTAAAGCCATTTTGTGAAGTTTTTGAGCCGTAAATCCGTACGCGACTAAACCTATGTTAGACGCACAAAATAAAACGGCTTCGTTTTCACTGATAGGAAAAATAAAACTTTTTATTGGAAGATTCGTTTTGTTCTAGTCGGCTACTCGTTAATCTTTTCACTGGCTGCGTGTGAAGTACCTCTATTTTAGATCTATGATAGCCTTCCAGACAGGGGAAAGACGGGTTTTCCCTCTTTTTACTCCCATGAAAAGTCACACACTCCAAATTATTCTCTCTCTTCCGTAGACAGATTTGTATGAGTTTTCATGGAGTAAAGTATTCCTCCCCCCTCCAATCAAATTTAGGGTGTTTTTGAAGTGTTTCCAATGATTTCCTAAGTGACAAAGAACCAACAGCGACGGTAGATGTATTGATGATAACGCTTTTGACCCAATTTCTTCCAGGGACATTCCTACCTCCTGTAAGAGATCGTGGACAAGTTCAAAGAAATGGAGCTGGACAATGGAAAGGAATTCTTCTCTATGGTCAGGGGCGGGGAGATTCTATTAACATCCTTCCAGTTGTACGATTTGGAGGTAATTAATCGCCCTCTCTTTTTTTCCTTTTTTTCACGTACTTTCTCCCTATCTTTTTTTATTATAAAAACGCAATCTACTCATCAAGAGCTCGCGATTGAAACATCACATGTACCAATCTTTCCCTTCAGGGTAATATTTAATTCGCAGTAATATGAATTCAATGTTAAATGTAAAAGGCATCGTTGAGATCCAAGAGACTTCGTAGTCCGATCCAAGAGAAAGCACTAAAGAAATAACATAGGGAAAAACTAACTTTTAAAATAACAAATCGATTAATATGTTATATTCATTTTGCTAGCTATCGTTGCAATTGACATGAGACCACTCTCACCACCATGTGACCTCTTCTTCGTGGTTAGGAGATTCGGTTAACTGCGTAATGTATATGTAGATGAGAATGACAATCATTCGTGCAGGGTATAGTGAACGAAACAAATCTTCATCCTTCTATTTCGTCGCCTTTCTCCCCTTTCAAGATGACGCAGGTAGACTGGTTTGGATGGCGGCAAATAAACTGCCCCAGCCCCATGTTGGTTTTGGTGACATCTCTTTCCAAGGGAACGTTGGTGTGGAATGGAGGGCGCACACAACTCCTCTCCTGTGGATCCTTGACAGATACCTAGCTGGATTGCCATCACTGAAGGAAGGTGAGGAAATGATTCAATTTTCATTGTACTGTAAGCTTCTCTCATGGTTCTCCAAGGTATTTCCATTTAACTCTAATGCTTCTTTTGTACTCTTCTTTTGGACCGTCCGCGTTCAAGAAACTCTTCTACATATAACGGAGAATTTTTGATCTGATAATCGACTTAGCGATGATTAGTAAATGTAATTTAGCATGTGATATTTGCCGCAACATTCACTGAAGATTGTGTGACCCAGGAAGGAATTTAAAGAATAATTTCTCAGAATTTAGAATATAATCTCAGAATAATTTCACACTCTCTTCATGTCTTTCGGTTACGAGTACAAGTTCATGAGATTGGGGCAAGGTTTTGGGCTAACATTTGACTTAGGTAATCAATTCTCCAATTATCTCTTATGGCGGAATCTGAAATAACACCCACTTGGATTCTGGGAGTTGTGTGGTCCTCCATGTTCGCTGCACAGGTAAAGAAAATGTATCCAAGTTCTTGCAATAATTAATGACTATATTATCAATATTTTCAAGTGGTAATGCCAATCAATGTCTACCCTTTAACGCAGGTAATGAAAAATTGTAGGCCTATACGGTGTTATATAGTAACAGTGAAACTAATGAATTTTACCGAATCTTGCAGGTATTATGTTCATACAATGGAAGAGATTGTCTGCAATAGGTAACACCATACTGTCAATCCCAAAGCAGTTCGGAAGGGCATTAAATGTGACATGCCCATTTGCAATACAGGATTTTTGTGCTGGCATTTGGCTTTTGCTGGAAATTCCGCATGAAATTAGTTTACTCACTATCCCCGTCACCAAAGAACGAGTTAAAGATGAACTTCATAGACAGCACAGACCTTCAGACGCTTCACGAGACTCTGAATTACTGTCTAAAGACACTTTTTGTTTGGGAATGGGTTCCTTACCCCTGTAATGCAGAACTTTTTCAATTGACATTAGGCTGGATCGACAAGGAGTGGAAACTTTTGGAACGATTTGAAGAGAAGATTCTGAATAATGGTGTCCCCTATAGGTGGTCTGAGCGAAAGGGACATAATTTTCAGGATGAATGTGATCTCCATTTATTTAAACCAGCCCGCGTAGAATAATTCTATTAGATCCGTCTGATGGGGATTCTAATGCAGTTCATTCACATCATCAACCTATCTCTCTGCAATAAAATGCATTTTGTCCATCCAGCGCCGCCTTTTAGCCTTTAATTCAGTTTAGACGAAAGTATGACGACGAGCGTGGCAATTCAGAGTAGCCCAATTTGCAGGAAAAAGTAAGGAATATACAGGGGATTCGTTTGCTTCCATTGCTCTGAATCTTCTACAAGACAGTGAGTGATGGCTAACTAGCGTCAGTGAATTTTTCTATCATCCTATTTGTCTTTCAATATCAGAATTGGATGATTTTCATGGAGATTTCACAGAAAAAAACCTATACCTTCAAGCCTATACCTTCAAACCTATACCTTCAAACCTTCAAATAATTTGCATTTTATCTGCAATAAGAATCTGCGGGAAGAACAGTCACAATTTCGCCGCAATTATTTCTTTTTGGGACAATATTCACTTTTCTTTACAGTTCCCTCACCGCTCTTTCCTGCATTGACAGTTAAGGAATCGTGACATATATTCTTCCGCAGATATTTATAAGTCATTTCAATCATTCACGCACAGAGCATGGCATTAAGCAATAGTTCCCAAACTGCGCTAAGTGTTATAAGCGTTGGGGCCTAAAGGTGATTGCTTTTGAAGTCAGTAGCTAATTTCCGCATGTGTGTGAGAGGAGGACGTGACTGGTCAGAGAGTGCTCATTGGTGGTCACATGCACACGAAATTTGAAAGCCACTGGCATGGTAAATGGCATCTACATGTGATGAATTTTGGGGGCGGCGTATATTTGCGACTTCGGAGGATTGAGATCGGGACAATATGATAATCATATATTTCTCCGGCTCTGGATCAGCGGATGCGCATGAAGTAAAAGATTGTAGAGACCTGTCTCATTTCTGAATTGAACCATCGTGGATTTGACGTTTCTTTAAGGTTCAAGGAAATGAATTTTGAATATGGAGTCAACAAGGAGCAAATGTTGAATCAATGTTGCAATGCTGCTGTTGAACAATGAATGAAGGCAATTCTATTGATGTTAACGTTGCCTCAGAGTTAATGAAAATAAATTCGGCATGGAATGAATATTGACAGGCCAATGTTTCGGCATTTGCGTTAACGTTTGACATTCATTCAATGTTGATTCACAGAGGGTGCCCTACTTGGTGATGTGAACGTCGACAGAATATCAGCCGGAAAGGGCCTATATTTAGCATAAGAATAAGCGATAGTTATTTTTTCACGAAACTCCTGGCCTGGAATTTTTTTAATTTATGAAACCATTTTTCATATCCCAACAGAAGAAGTGAAGGAGCATATTCTTCTTGAAACAGAGTTGAAGAAATGATGCTTTTCACATCTACTTCAATCGTGAGCTTTGATCACATTGTATGCTTTTACAAATAAAGCCACAAACGGATTGATTGGAAATTGTGTACTTCATTGGTAAAATCTCCCCAGCATACAATTATTTCAAGGTAATTTTAGGCTATTTAAATTATAAGCGAGTTTTATAAGTATTACCTCCATCAGAATCGTTATTCTGCAGGAAAGGCAATACGATTTCCCTAGGTACGAGGGTCACTCAATATGTTATCTACCTGAATAAGAAAGAAACATCCGAGGGGAAAAATGACACTTTATTTTTCAATGTAGTCACCTTTTAACTCAACACACTCATTCCACTTTGATTCCAAGGATTTTATTCCCTGGGAATAGAAGTCAACTTCTTGTCCATCAAACCAATCAGAAACGGCAACTTTCAACTCTTCATTGCATGGAAATATTTTTCCTCGCAAAAATTGTTTCAAGTGTCTCAGCAGAAAATAGTCACTAGGAGCCAGATCCGGGCTGTGGGGAGGATGGTTGAGCTCCTCAAAGCCACACTCCCTCACTGCAGCCTGAACGTTCCATGATTTGTGGACGGGCGCGTTGTCATGGAGAAGAAGGACCTCCCTTGACAACTTTCCTCTGCGTTTTTCCTCGATGGCATCATGTAAATTGTTCATGGTGGTAGCATAGGAATCGCCAGTGATTGTACACTTGTCTGGCATGAACTCAAGCAGCAGTAGTCCCTCGCTGTCCCAAAACACAGTGGCCATAATCTTTCCTGCAGATTTTTGAACACGAAATTTGCGAAGCGTTGGCGATCCCTTGTGCTTGAACTGCATGGACTCCTGCTTGGTTTCGGGATCCCAGTGATGAACCCACGTTTCATCAGCAGTTACTATTCTGGGGAAAAAAGTTTCCCCGATTTGTTTAGAAAACTCCAAGTTTTCTTTGCAGATGTCAGATCTGTTCTTCTTCTGAGCTGGAGTCAGCATTCTTGGGACCCATCGAGAACTGTCTTTGGACATGTGTAATTTTTAATGAATAATGTGAATCACTGTGCCGTCTGAAATCCCCAGTTCATGAGCTAAAATAGAGTCTTTGGTGCGACGATCGTCCAGTGCTGCACTCTCCAATTTGTCACACATTTCCTGATCAAAAGCCTCCACAGGGCGCCCCGACCTTTGGTCATCTTCGATTGACTCTCTTCCCCACTTAAACTGCTTGCTCCAAAATTTAACTTGGTAATAAGAAGGCGAAGACACACCATAAACGTTAGACATACGTTCATGAATCTCCTTAGGTGCTTTCCCTTCTTTGGTGAGGAATTTCATCACTGAACAATGTTCAAAATGCGCTACCACTTTGAACGGACTTGAGCCACTGAGCTGGTATAGTGGTGGGGCACTCACGAGACTTGTCGAGACATGTCACAGCAGGCACAGGCCTGTTGCTCATCCCTTTCATATTCAAGTAGATAACTTATTGATTGGCCCTCGTACTTTCAAGCATGGTCCGTCATGCTTCGATTTATGCAAACTTTGCGAGATACAAATGCATTTGAGGTGGAACATACAAGTAGCACACAAGTATGGAAACATTGCATAAATTAAGAGCCGGAAAAATGAAAACGGCGAGAAAGATTTGTTTCCTTTGTGAGTATCGTATTATTAAAAGAAAGCTATCGAAGATCAGACTTCTCAGTACTACAGAGAAGTCTGAGCTACTTGAGAAGTTATGCATAGAAAACTTGTACCGTACGGTAACAGTTATAAAGACTGTACAGATATGGCGCCAGTGCACTCTCAACTCAGATTGACCACAGCAGGATCAAATGTCTACAGCTTTGCGATATAAAAACGAATTCTAACAGAGGAAATTCAGGCCTTTCGAGTGATATATCACACAGGAATTTGGGTTCAAAATGAACATGAAGGTCAACCTGGTTAGGTCAAAATTCAACTCAGAAAAAATCTAAAATGAATTGGACCATGTGCAGAGAATTAAAAATTGAATAAGGTTTCGACGGTGGAAATCGGCTGAGAAACCTAGGAGTTCACTGGACAAAGTCCGGTCATACTGACATCCGCCGGTCGTTTTGTATATTGATACACGAGCATGCAAGCACGTGTCCCATCGCCGAACGGGAATTTTTTGGTGGCACAAGAGTACAATGATATTTGAATATAGAAGCAGCATTTTATTTCTCTGCCTTTCCAACGATTGAGTGGTATCGCCAGTCCCCTAAAATCCTTTTCATCGGTCTGAATATATGAAAATCACACTGTGATAAGTGTACTCTGTACGAGGGATGGTCTCAAGTCAACCAAGCAAAGGTTCAAACATTACTATCGACACCCCGTTCTATAATAACCACCATCTAAGCAGTAGAACCCATTTCTAAAACATCGTAGCTACGAGGGCGTAAAATGATGCTGATGTTGAATGGATGTTTGAATGAAACATTGTAATTTGGATTAAATTAAATTTCCTAGTCCTTAGGAAGCGTTGCCATAAGGATTTTGCATTGATGCCGATGCATACTATGTAACGTATTATAATAGGGCGTTGGAAAGACGCTGTAAAAGCACCTATTCATCACATTTACAGCAAGTGCACAAGGTATACTGTCGCGGATACCTTCAACACTTATTAATAGAATTTCAACTTCCTCTCGCAACGCCGATCATATATGACTCTCCCGTTGTCAGATGTCACATGTTTATTTTGTGACCTTCGCATGTGGGGGAGCAATTATTTCTCTGATGAACTCAACTACCAAGCAAGACTCTCGACAATCACTTTCAAGAACGAGAGACATTCGGCCAGGAATGAAGTACCTGGACGTAATTCTGTCGTGTCATGCTCGAAGTGGAACAGAACTCCAGAATTGGTAAGATTTATTTTATGAATTTTCAGCTGCTTGTGGGTGTTATAGCGTTCTCAGGCCAGGTTCCCCGCGAAGACTGGGCAAATTATCGCATTGAAGGATCGTATTCATAAATCCATATGTACAGCATATGGTTTGGGCCAAATTGATACATCAGCCTATTTTTGCATGAATGTTCCGAACATTCATGCAAAAATAAATGAATCCCGTTTTCATCCCAATTCCCGTTATATTTTGAGCAGGCTCATATCCATGCATACCCGTGAAACAAACTTCTATTTCTGAATCCTCTTGCACTCTAAGCATAATAATATCCGAAGGTAACAAGGAAATTTATTAGCCTGTCAATAGATGGTCCAAAACCTCATAGTAAGCGTGCACAATTGATTATACACAATTGATATAGTACTAGCGTAGTTGTGAAACATTTTACCGAACTCCGATTGCCTAATACGTGAAAAAAGCTGGTCATTTTCTGCAATGAGGAAACTTTTTGCCCCAATACGCCTAATCAAAACGGAGCTGCCATGGAGGTTTTTTGTGTTTTGGGCAAAAAGCTCCACATTTGTCGTGAGTAGATGTGTGCAATATGCATGACTAATGCAAATGTGAGATTGGTGGTTCTATGCTTGAAACGGACATTCCAAGGATTAGGCTTTCTTCTCAGGAAACTGGTATCTAATGCATACAATTGGACTATAATGCAGAAAAAAATTACTTCCCTCCTCACTGCGACCAAACATGACAACATGAGATGCTGCTGTTTAAATAGCTCAGTAGGCCTATATATTTTGAGGATTCTGAAATTTTGATGAGCTCCACGATGCGGAGAAAAGCTCCATGCCAAAGAAGAGGAGGGCAATGACACAACCGCCAATGAAGAAGAGGAACGGGCTCTGGAGATGGACTAGGGAAAGGGGATGAGGACCAACTTCTCCAGGTCTAGCGGCATTGGTGGAATTTGTCATATTGGCGCTCCAACGGTAGGAATCTTCTAAGGCAATCTTCCACCACTGCAGAATCAAGCCTGCTTCCGTCATGCTCATCAAGTGCCAATTCAAAGCTTCTTTTAATGTGCTAAGTTCATTTCCTACTAGCCATCCTACAGGGCCACAGAAGAACGGAGATGGATTGATGCAGTAATCTTCCATTTGGTCATATCCTCGTGCCAAAAGCAGGCTCTGGGAATCCATGAAGGCGAAGGAATCGCTCATGACATCGTCGAGGGGTAGATACAGATCCCATGCCTCGTTTCTGGGGAACCATACCATCCTTTCACCTAAGGTGATCAAAACAGGGTCTCCAGATCGCTGAAAGAATGTATCCATTCCAGCCTCGTAATTCACGCTCCCCCATTTGTAATCCGATTTCACCAGCTCCGTCAAGGATGTGGGAATGGGCTGGAGACTTGGGATTGCGAGCAGCGAAACTAGGCTGCTCGAATACAGCGTTGTCAAGATCAGAAAGCAAAATGAAGTCACTGCAATCAAGATTCGACTGGCGTTCACACATCTCAAGTTGGGGTGTAAACTCTGGGTCGAGAGAACACGGATGAAGAGGAACAGGGCATTGAAGAACCCGATGTGTTCCAAGACGTAACCAAGAACGACGCTTGACAACAACAATGCTACGAAGACAGATACCCAAACTGTTAAGTGCCATGGTTGTATCAACCGCATCCAGGTTGGGTAGGGGCGTGGCGGACGAGTTAGGAATCGCAAGCAATCGGCAGAGAATGGTATAGTATAATCTACGTTTTCGTAGTGGGAATCTTTCGGAGAAAGGAAAAGGCCAGACATTGCCAATTCAACTGTTCCATCGTTGACGACAGCTAGAAGACCTGTCACAGTCCCGTTCTCTGTCACTTCACCCCAGGCTTCGTCCTCAGGCAAAACGAACTCGACAGAAAAATTGAGTCTCCAGGAGAGTTCCTGGAGAATGACACCTTCCAGTCCTTTCAATTCTTCCATACTCGGGATTTCGTGAAGAGGATTCCAGTAAATCCACGGTTCATATTGCAAAGTACCGACACGAATAAGTTCACCTTGAAGATCCCATTTCGAGCTGCGACCTCCACGGCTCAGACAGGTTGAATAGGGAATCACGAGGACTCCCTGCACCAGGAGAAGGGAGAATGCCTTTCCGTATTCCATCACCGATCGTGAACGCCAGAATATAGTGTTGTCGGAATAGCATCCCGTCGGAACTGAGCTCATGGTAGAGGAAGATATTGACATCAGGCCATTAGGACGTCAATTTAGTCATGCAGACATTCATAAGTAGTCATTATATACAGTAGATGAACGCGAAGCCTTTCTTCTCCGTCTTCACCCACTAATACACGCATCGGATGCATTAAACATGAGGCATCCTTTCGATGATTATAAGATCTGGAACATTACACATGTGCCTCTTCCGTTAAATTATAGGGGAGAGAACCGACAGGAGAAATGACTCTTGACATGTTTTACATAACCCCTCCATTGACCCCATAGTATTGATCCTTTCCAAGGATCGATGTTCTCAGCGAAGTCACGCGTCAAAACTTTAAAACCTTCATTCTATGTACGTGGGTTGTTCTGTAAGTCCAGTGAAAGTTATATTTCTCAAAATTTCAGAAGCTGATTTTGCGTAACCTTTTTTCTATAGGGTTTTAGAAGCTCCAGTGAATTTTTGTATAATTTATTTATACAATAGCCTGGCACGAGTGCTCGATTTCTTGCGAAAACGTGAGCCCTCTTCTGCCTTTTGAGGTTTGGTTGTGTTGCTGTGATTTTCATGCGATAGTTCCTGGAGTTTCAAGCTCCAAGAAATGTTCTGAGTGCCATGAAAGGCTTGTAAAAGCCTTTCACATTGGAACAACGTCTAAAATGTTTGTATATGACTGGTTTTCGCGGTTCCTGTGTTGCCAGACTGATCTTGAAAATGTCCCTGATGAAGGGCGTCAAAAAGCAACTGTCACTAACGAGAATGTGGAGAAACTCAATCATCTAATTGAAAGTTGCCCAAAAATAACATACCTTGCCCTTGAAGAGACTGTTGGTATTAAAGCGGCAGCATATCAATAAATTATGAAGAAACAATTTAAAACAAGAAAAATAGTAGCCCAAAAAAATATTAAAAAAGACCTGTCTGACAGAGTGAACCAGACGAGAGCCAATTTCAGCTTCTAAAATTCTACCTAAGGAGAAAAAACGTGTCTCTCAAATCATAAGTATTGACGAAACAGGGGTCATCCCTACGATATGGTAACTAAAAATTAAAGTTGAATCAAAGTCTTTCATGGCAGTCAGACAAAATTTCGTGAGCACTTCCTTCCCCCACTCTCCATCGTGCTTTTGCAATTTTCGGCCACTCACGCTTGGCAAAATATGATGAAAAATTCACTGGAATTTATAAAACCTTATTTTAATAAAGGGAACAAAAATTTAGTTTCTGGCAATAAGACAAATATTGATATAACTTTCACCAGACTTTCAGAACAACCCACGTATCATTCTGATAGAACCAAATTCATAAAAATTTAATATTGCATACGTTGATATTTCAAAATATCATTTGTCACGGTAAGGGAGTGAAAGCATGCGACCCCATTGGGGATGATTAACCCCAGGCCTCTATTCACAGCCTCCGCCACTAGGTGTCGCTAGTTAACCCCGGTGCTTGGTAAAGCGGGATGTATAGTGAATGAAATTATAACTGCTTATCCCGAAGTAAAGATTACATAGTTATTTTTAGAATAATACGTTGTGAAGAGGTAAAATAGTGTATGCCTCCCAACCGGACACGTGGAAGATTCTCCGTTCAGTGCGAAAGGTCGCATCACGGCCGTTTGCAAGCCAACCCCAGCAAAGACACCCGGAAAGCGCGATTCAGTCGCGAATCATTCAATGCTTTAAATGCCTGCAGGACGGTCACTATATAGGACAATGCGAGGTCGACCGCGACGTGTGCTCGTACAGCTCAGGACAGGGGTCATACCCACAATACCTGCCAGGCAGAGCTGAACGGCTTGCATCCTAAATGCAGCCAGTGTCAAGGAGCACACACATCAAACTCGGCCGCTTGTCACATACGGCAAGAAAAACGACTGCACATTGCCTGCGACCCCAGGTTCGCTCATTCGATCCTTGCCAGGAAGATTCTGGCCGAGCAGAGAGGGTATCCAGGCCCTGAGGCTCCCATTAGGCCGGCTACGCCCCCAGCTAGGCCGCACATCAGGCTCGTCCCCGCTCTCCCCCATCGCGCACCGCCCGGACATCCTCCCTCGCGAGTCTGGCCGTCACAGAAAAGGCATGAGTCCACCTTGTGAAATGAAATTAGGCAATGGACGTTACTTGTAGGCGCTAGTTGCACAAGAAAATACAGGATGCCAATTAAATGACTACATATGGGCGACTATATCATTACAAACACTTTAATCTCCTTTTGTAATTCTGTAGGTTGACGACGTACCTACCTTGGAAGAATGTTTTGGCACAAAAAACGTTTGTGCCAAAAAATAGTCGCCACCATAAAGACATTACTGGATTCAGAGAACGCCTTCCTTATTCTACAGGTTGCGGAGCAATACGAATACAAAGATTTGCGGGACGCTGCCGATGCAATCGTTTCTCGCCGCTTCAGCGAAGTCGTCGTCACGCGGGACTTCTTGAGCATCTCCTTCGAGACCCTATCTTCGTTTTTGGACCGAGAATATTTAGAGGCTTCCTCGGAAAAGGACGTGTACGAAGCGACACGGAAATGGATAGATCACGATTCGAGCCGGTAGCGCCATTTACCGGATCTCCTGGACAAAATCTGCCTCCCTCTCCTACCGTACGAATACTTGAGGACGGTGCTTCTGAAAGACCCAATCATGAACGGAGATGCTCGATGCCTCGGTGCCATCACGGACGCGATGGACTATCACGTTCCGGAGCTCCGTCATACTGCCCCGAAGGAGAAAACCAGACCGCGAACGACGCCCGATTTTATTTGGAGCATGAACTGCAACGGGAAGATCTACCGCATGAATCCTCATAATTGGGACTTGGATGAAATCACGGACAATCCTTTGAGGGAAGATTGTGCCTTTTCAGGAATGGACAGAAAACTGTATGTCACAGAGAAGGGTGAGATGAAGATGTTTGACCTCGAGAAGAGGGAATGGAAGGAAGGGCCCAAGCCCCCGGAGTATCTTAAATACTCGGCGACTGGAGTTTCCCCCGGGTCCATCTTCATCTGCGGTGGAATGAATCGAAAGAATGAAAGTAAAAAAAGTGTATTTCGTTTCTCGGTGGAATCAGGGGAATGGATACGACTCAGTGATATGAAGTATGAAAGGAATTCTCCAGCAGCGTGTTATGAGGACTCTTGCCTCCACGTCATTAGAGGAGATCCAAATAGTAAGAAACATGAGCGTTTGGATCTCCGTACGTCTCGATGGGAAGAACTGGCTCCCCTCCCAGTAGAAAGATCGGACCATGCTGTCTCACCTCACGAAGAACAACTTCTCTTGGCTGAGGGATATCGAAATAAAAATACGGTGTTCCTGTATGATAGAAGAAGGAATTGGTGGCGGGAGGGGCCAAGCATGATGGAAGGACGGCGATGTCACGGACTGATATGTTGGAACCGAAATTTGTATGCTGTTGGAGGATATCGAAATTCATCAGTGGAAGTGTTTGATGGAACAAAATGGGAAATTATCGAGAAATATAATATCATGGATTTCCATCGAGCTTGCCAAATGATGAATTCAGGAAATGAGATGATTTGATATAACGAGAAAAGCAACAAATCCAATTACTTTAATTTATTTTGTAATTAGGAACCCATTTTTTAAAAAAGGATCAACGTTTCCTTGCTACCGTTATTTTCATTCATTTTCTAGAAAAGAAAATTCCTGATTTCATTCACCCTAATTAAT